CAACAACTGAAGGACTATGGAATTCAAGCAAAGGAGATTAAGCTGTTGTGTGACAACACCAGTGCCATTGCTATCACTCAGAATACAGTTCTTCATTCCAGGACAAAGCACATTGAAATCAGACATCACTTCATCAGAGATCATGTTAAGAAGAAGCACATCTGCATGGAACATGTGCCAACAGAAGACCAGCTTGCAGATATCCTGACAAAGCCTCTTCCTGAGGCTAGGTTCAACAAACTGAGAGAGGAATTGGGAATGATGGATGAGATTCCAAGGGAAAGATGAAAAGAAAGGCCCTCTGTTGCTGAATTCCTGTTAACAGAACACCTTTTGCAGAACCCCTTCTGTTAACCCCCTCTGTTCTCTACCCTGGCAGAACACCTATGCAACAGAAACCCTTTCCACAGAGAACCCTCTCTTGTCTAACAGAAGGGTGTGGACTTAGAAAGTTTCTGAAAACCGGGTGACCTAGTAAATTATTAAAGGTCTTTTACCCTTTTACCCTTAATATTTACTGCGCCCCTTTTCTCATTTATATTAACGGTATCCAGCCGTATAATATTTACTGCGCCCCTTTTTATTTACTGCGCCCCTTTTTACATTTATTGGTACCTTGGAACCGTAAATTTTCTCAAACATCCACTAACCTGTACCCATAAAACCCCCTTTCGCAAACCTAAACAATTACTGCTCTCATAACTCTCAAGATTTTGAACTCTTATCTCTCCAAAACTCCCAAACCGCTATACTCCATGGCTTTCTTGAGCTTCTCCGATCTTTCAAAGGAACAAAAGGCAACACTTCTCAAAAATGTACTGACAGGGATGAGATGCGAACTGGAAGTCCTACCCAGGTTCGCAGAGAAAAAGGAAAGGACTGCTCATTTCAGAAAAAGAAAGGCCATATATGCAGTGCATCATGGGGTAAACATCAATTGGGGACAAGTCATGGTGAAGTCCCTGATTGAAGTGATCAAGAAGAAGAACCCAAAGACTAGCCTCTATTCTGGGAAGCTAGGGCATGGACTGCTCATTTCAGAAGTGCTCCTCAAACAAGGGGTAAACTTGAGGAAGGCTTCAGTTTTGGATCACACCAAGGTAATTTTCCTGACTGCCTCTCCAAACAGGGAAAAAGCCATAAAGGCAGAGCTGAAGAGACAGCTTCAGCTTGAGGCTAAGAGACAACAAGGAGAGAAGGTACAGAAACCCCTCCCTATAGCCCCTTCTGCTGAGAATGAGAAGAAGAAGAAGAAGACCGAGAAGGCAGAACCTGTTGCTCCTCCAACCATGAAGGCTGGACAGAAGAGGAAGAGGACCACAAAACCCAAGAAGAAGGTTGCTAAACCTGTGGTCTCTATGTCTGAGGAAGTGGGAGACACTCAGGGGGAACCAGAGATCCCCACATCTGCTGCATCTCCTGACCAGAACAGGGTGTCAACTCCAACAGAACACCCCAGTCCTGTCAGAGATGGGTATCTGTCCTTGCTAGACAGACAGTTTACTCGGGTCCTTGAATGGAGAAGGTGGAGAATGGGACCCCTCTCCAAAATAATCCAGTATTTTGATCATTATGAGGCAGAAGAAGAAGCCATCCTGAATTGGGTTGGGACTGATGATGTCTCAAAGTGCTTTGCCCTCAATTTTCTTCACTCTGTCCTTGAGAAGAAGAAGGCAAACTACAAGGGAAAGGCTGTTCTCATCTCCTCACCCTCAGAGGAGGCTGTCAAACCTCTAGAAGAGGAAGAGATAGAAGCCTTTGAAGAATGGTTGTTCACCAAAATGGCAACAGACTCTGTACAGCCCAACTTCAACCCAGGAGAGTCCTCTGTACTCAAGTCAGAAGGACAAGCTATGATGGAGCATATCAAGGAGTGGAGGACTTCCTTGCTTGTGGATAACATCATTGAGGTAAACTCTCCAACCCCTTCTGTTAATATCTCAAACAGAACCCCATATTCCCTCTCCTCCCACCAGCACAGAAACCCCTCCACCAGAACACCCTCAACCTACATCTCCTAAACAGAAGACCCCCACCCCTCCTCACTCACCCAAACAGAAAATTGCATCTCCCTGTAGAGCAATTGTTCCTTTCAGAAACCGCTCACCTTCACCTCCACCATCTCCCCCTCAACAGAATGCCTCACCTATTCAATCTTCACCCCAGCACCAGAACCCCTCACCCCAACAGATATCCTCTTCATCCTTTGAGTCTGAACATCAATCCCCTCCACCAGAATCACCTCCTCCACAACAACCTGCAGAGAAGCTTAAACCTGTATGGTTTCTCAGGGATTCTGACCCTACAACTGTCTCCCCCATCTCTGCACCCCAAGGCCTTTCAAGGCATTCTACTGCCCCTAATCCCTCCCTCAGAAAGAAGAAGAAGATAGTCCGCAACAGAATCCCTATCTACTTTTCTTATGAAGATTCATCTGACATGGATGGATTCATGATCAGCAAATCTCACAAAGCAACATCAAAGAGACAGAAGACCCCTCCTCTGACTCAACTGGAACATGAACTGCTTGTAGAATCTCTCTCATCTGTCCAAGAGCATCACCCCTTACCTAGGGGAAGAGGTCTAGAGATGCCTCAAGCTGATGGACAACAGAATAACATTCCCTTCAACAAATTTGTTGAATCTGCAGAAGACTTTGGTGGACAGATCCTCCAAGGCATGAACAAGCTGATAGAAATAAATGATAAACACTATGGGCACCTTGCTCATGTGAATGACAATCTCAATTCAGGAATGCAGTTCATCTCTGATCGTTTTGAGAACCTCACCGGAACACTCAACAACTTTATAGCCTCCTCATCTGCCAGAACAGAAGTCCTATCAACAGAAGTGGTAGGCATCCACAAAACACTCTCTATCTTTCAACAGACTCTCCTGAGTCAAGGACAGGCAATCCACACTATCTCAGAGCATCTTGAGGCTCTGAAGACATCTGATGCCAGAACAGAGAGGCAACTGACCTCTATTGAGCAAATGTGCAGAGCTCATCAAGAACAGGCTCAAGCTCTCCTGTCTACTGACAGAGACCGATATCAGAAGATGGTGCTCCTTCAAGCCAATAACAAGGACATCTTCTCTGTCATACAGAAGAAGCAAGGTCTCATTGAAGGCCTGACATCTGTCACTCAGACTCTACCAGAGGCCCTAGAGCAGATAGCCTCCACTCAGGCCTCAGAATTCCAGAAGATAAGCCTTATGATAGAAGATCTGAATGATGCCAAAAAAGGGGGAAGAGGACCCTCAACAGACCAGGCCTAGGTCCCACAGAACTCCTACTAGGGTACCCTTCTCTGATGAGCCTGCAGTGGATCCGGCTCCCTATTTTGAAGCTGCCCTACAGAAGAAGAGAGCAGCAGGCATACCCAGACCCCCATCTCCAATAAAGAAAGGCACAAAGAAGAAGAAAGTTTTTAACTTCACAGAATGGAGATTGGGTGGTTCTCAGAAAATTGAGAGAGCTCAATTTGAAGAGATGAAGGCCAAAATGACTCCCACCCAACAACAGCACCTCTATCTGGACAAAGATGGTGTTGTGAGAGTTAGGTATGAGGGATCATTAGAAGAAGCTGAAGAATGGTATAAGAAGAACATTGTCCCAGGGAAGACAATACATGAAGGTGTTCTCAACTATTTGGACTGCAAGCTTTCTCCAATTTGGGCATCTTATCAAAGCTCTGGCGACCTTTTCAAAATCAGAGCTGAAATAAATGAAGAACTGCTCAGGCTTCAAAGACTGGAGGAAGAAACTTTGCAAGCAGCTAATCTGGAGAATGTGTAAGGTTTAACTCTGTAAAACTTATCTAATAAAATCACATCTATGCCTTCTTACTTTGAAGTGTTTTTCCTCAATTCATGTCTTTTTGCCTTCTACTTGTGTGTGCTTATTTCTTTTATATTCTGCTATCTGATTGTACTGTACTCTTACTATTTTCCTATGCCAAGTTGCCCACCAAGATTTTAATGGAAAGTTTTTAAACTTTAATCTTTCTTTATGGTGAAGGCACTTCTCTGGAAATAGTTAAAGAGTTTTGGCATCATCAAAAAGGGGGAAATTGTAAGGAATATTTGTATTTAAATTTTGATGATGCTAGATTAATTAGGACTGTAGAGTACCCCTACTTAGACTTAATGTATTAGAATTTTCATTTGTAAAGTTCTTAGAGTATTCGACTTGGCAGAATGCCTTCAGAGCAGAAGACCTTCTGAGCAGAAGGGTTCCAAGAACAGAAGACCCTCTTAAGACTTTATTGAAACAGAGGACCTTTGGTTCTCTGCTCCAGAACAGAAGACCTCAGGGTCTCTGTTAGTCTTTACTCTGACAGAAACCCTTCTGGGTCTCTGTTGGATATACTCTCAACAGAAGTGCTCCAGACCTCCTCTGTTCTACTCTCAGTTAAAGACACCAGAAGGTCTGACACTTAGAAGAAATCCACAAAACCGGGAAGTCAACTAAAAGATTCCTTCAACGGCTAGGAGTATGAAACGGAAAAGCTACAGTGCACGCATTAAATGCTCATTTAATGCACCCCATGCTCAGTAGAGTAATTGCAGATGATTGGCCGCAATGTCAGGAATACTTTATCCCAAAATAGTAACCCGCCAACTTTACCGGGCTCTACTAGTCAAGTCAACTGATCGCTCATTTAATGCAGTTGTCCTCCTACTCCTCCAACTGGAAGACAACCTCAGTATAAAAGATACACTACGAAGAACAACCGGATAACTTTGCAATTTTTGCTAACCATTGCTACAACTCTTCATACAAGATATTCAAACTCTGAAAAGCAAAAAGCCTCCTTGAGATAAACATTCATCATCTTCTACAAGAGAAGGCAGAAGTTGGAAAAATACTTTTTCCAACTCAAGCAAAGTTCCAAGTGTTCTTCAACTCTTCAAGCTCATCACATACAAATCTTTTGTAACGAAGCTAGTTGGAGGAACCCCTGTGTTAACAGAAACTCTTCTTGCTACAAGAAGGACGTCCAAGTAACTTGAGTAGTGAAGTGGTGATACTTCCAGGAAGCTCAGTAAAAGGACCAGTCTTAAAGGAAGCCACGCAGTGCATCCCAGGAGACATCTAGGCTTGAAGAAGACGTGGAGTGCTTCTTAAGTGCTAGGACTAAGGCTTTGTAAACGGAAGTTTTTACAGCTTAGTGGAACAGTGGACTAGAGGAACAAGTTGTTCCTTGAACCACTATAAAAATCCCTGGTGTCTTTTACTTACTGCTTTAATATTTGCACTTAGATAGAACTGCTTAACTCCTTGGACTTGGTATCTGTGTTCAGCAGAACTTGTTCTACGAGTTAACAGAAGGCCTACTGCCTTTGCTTCTCTGAGGCTAAATCAACAGAACTCCCTACCAGAACCCCATCCGCTGCCAGTCTGTTCTGTCAACAGAACAGGCTATTCTGTAAAAACTGGTACTTAGTTCAAAAAGCTAAAAACCAATACAGTCTATTCACCCCCCCTCTAGACTGTATCCAGTACAACCGGGACCAACAGTGTCAACACAGAATTTCGTTTTGCTTACCTTCTTCGTTACTCGAAGGCAACAAGCGCGGGCGAGTTTTTGATTTCCCCTCTAGTAGCCGATGCCTCCCTCGACTGGGAACTTGAGGCAGAGGTGCCTCATGGAGATGATGGCTTCGAGATCCTCGAGGCTAGTCGGCTGAGGATGATGTTGTGGGCGCAATCGATGTTGATGATGACGAACTCCACTTCGAGCTTGGCTCTATGGAGCCCGTCGCCGAATAGTACCGGGAGGGTTATGACCCCTTCGGAATCAATGGTGTCGCCGGTGAAGCCGGCAAGAGGGGTCTTGATTGGCCAAAGGGACCCCCTCTCCAGACGCAGCTCTCTAAAGGTGCTGAGGTACATTATATTGACGGAGTTGCCCGTGTCAACGTAAGTTCGATGAATGATGGTGTCGTTTATTTCACTCTGGATCACCAAAGCATCCCTGTGAGGAGTGGAAGTCGGGGGAGATCGGCGTTGGTGAATGTGATGGGTTCTTCCCTCTGCCGCTTTACGGGGGCATACGGGTGACTTCACCCACGTAAAGCGATTGAGCACACTTCTTCCTCTGGCTCGTGGAATCCCCCCCGGTGTTGCCTCCGGTGATCATGAGGATGTGGTGCTTTTTCTCTTGATAGTGGGGGTATTCTTCTTCCTCCTCTTCCAGGTTCCCGATCTCCCTCTTCTTGCCGAGGGGGATGGTGTTCGGGTTAACCCAGGCGTTCGCTTTTGCTGGGTGCCCTCGGGGTGGCCCTTGGTAGGGGGACCCTGTTGCTGAGGGCTTTGGACAAACTGGGACAGATGGCCCGCCTATATTAATCTCTCGATGTCCGTCTTCAGCTGATGGCAGTCATCGGTTTTGTGCCTCTGGTGTCGATGGAAACAACAGTAGGGGTGCTGAGGGTTGATGGTGTATACCTCCGGGGGTGCGCGAGAGTCACGCTCAACGAGGCCCCTCTCCTCGACGAAGTCGAGGATGACGCTGACGGGGTGCGTCAAGGGTGTCCGAGGGCGTTCCAGGAGAACAGGTTGTGCCCAAGTCTTCGGGTTCCCCTTGTAACCTCCCCTGAGCTTGGCTTGGCTAGGCCGAGGGCGATCACCGGGGGGTGCTGGGCCTTTAGATTGATTTGCGGGAGCCCCCGGCCACCGGTTGTTTTTGTCATCTTGCCGAGGGCGTTGCTGGTCGGGGTTGTGGTGATATTTTTCCACCTCCTTGGCCTCGGCGTAACGATCCCCTCACTATAGGGCCCTTATGTAATCGCAGGGGGGTCGATGATGAGGCTTCTTGAAAAGTTCCCGGTGCGAAGGACGGTCTGTAGGAGGGCCAAGAGGGTTCCGTCATCGGCGTCGTCGACTTTATCTGCCTCCGTCCTCCAATGTTCCAAGAAATCCCTAAAGGTCTCATCCTTTTTCTGCCTCACCGTTAGTAGGTGGGAGAAGTACTTTCTTGTCCGGCGTCTCCATGCGAACTGGGTCAAGAAACAATGTGTGAGTTCTTGCCACGAGTCAATGCAGCCCTCGAGCAATCGGTTGAACCATTCGTATGCCGGCCCCTCTAAGGTGGAGAGGAACCAGCGACACAAATATTCATCCGATGTCCCCACCATCATCATACTGTTCTGGTACCTGCTGTAGTGCTCCTGGGGGTCAGTCTTCCCGTCGTAGGGCTTGATGAGTTGCCCTCAGTATTTTTCCGGGATCCGGGCCGCCAATACCCTTGGGGTAAATGGCATCCGAGTCGGGAGTTGTATGGTGGGTTCCCCGGAGCCCTCGACCATCTTCTTCTGCATTTCCTCCATCTTGGCCAGCATGGCCTCATATTTGAGATTTGCCTGAGGGGCAGAAATGGCGGCGTGTGCTTTGGTGGCCTCCATCTCGTCAAGTCGGCGCTGGAGGGCCACGATGATTTCGTCCCTGGGGTCCTTCGGGAGGACTTCCGCCCCCTGCGAATGGACACGGGCCGAGTGGGCCTGGTTGATGTGGTGATGGGCATCATCGGCATGGAGGGGGGCCTTGCCTTTGTCCTGAGGGGGACGTCTTTCGTCTGCTTGGGAGACGGATCCGCCACTTTCCTGAGGTCTTTGGAGCGCCTTCCCCCCGAGGCGGTCCCGGGACTGGACCTCCTGAGAGGCAGTATCTTGAGCCACGACCCCTTGGTCGTTCCCAATCCAAAGGATGGGGTTTCCGAAGGGATGTGGAGGAGGGGGAGGCATGACGTTCTCCCCGACCTGAGGTTGAAGCGGAACCAGAGTGCCGAAGGCACCCGGATTCTGAGTGAGTGTTTGGATGAAGGCGGAGAATGCCGACTGCACGTTGATAGTGAGGACCGGAGGACTATCTCGGTTTTCGCTCCAGTCCTTCTTTTTGGCTTTGATGCCGAGGCGGGCATCGGGGGCATTCTGCTGGATCTGAAGGCGTAGGTCGACAACCGCCTGTTCCAACCCAGCGAGGGCACCACCCTCGAGAGCCCTGTTAGAGGCGTCAGGGGCGTTGACGTCGTCGAGGGCCAGGTTCCCGTCCTCAACATTCTTGGAGTTGGCACGTGTTGTTCTCACCATTTTGGTGGGTGTTTTGTGTTTGGCGAGGGGGAGGGTTTCTTACTTGATTGTTCGATCTCTCAACGAGAGCACCAAATGATGGATAGTGTACCCGGAGGTATAAATCCGAGGGGTTACTGCGAGGAGTAACTAGAGAGAAGTTAGAGCATACAAGTAAGAGAGAGAATATGTATTCGGTGTGAATTCAGCGTATTTAGAATATGGTTTACAAAGGGGAAATGGGGTGCTATTTATAGTAGCAATAAATGCGAGACGGGGACACGTGTCAAGCATCCAACGGCCGAGGGGTCACATCAACCGGGTGTCACTGGCATTCGCATGTGGCCGCATTTAATGCGGCGGTTGGATGTGACGTTGTACTTGGTACGGCGATCCAGGTGCATGTGGAGAGGATATTCTTGTCGAGGAAGGTACCCTCGGCTGTAGATGATTAGCCGAGGGCTCTTCTTGTCGAAGGCCCCTTAAGGCCGAGGGCTTCAGGTGCCGAGGGCTACTGATTTTCGCCGTTTTCTCCCAGTAGCTTTGTATGCTTAAAATAGCCTTTCTGCGAGAATTTGAAGCCTTCGGCCAGGGGGCCGAAGGCACCCCTGTGTGCTCCATGGGTTGCTTGGTACCCGGGGCGCTGCGATTTGGACCTGCTGTGCTTCCTGGGCCTCTTGAGCTTTTATTAGGATAATAGGAGTCTATGGGCCGGGGGTCCCTGGACCATATACTCCATCACTTTTAGTACTAAGTGCCGGTTAGTATGGACACTAAAAAAAATCTTTTATTATTAGTTAATAACTCCTAAAAGATACGAACACCGATTTTTTGGGTATTGATAAATTTAAAACTGATTAGGATAATGATCAAATACCAACAAAGCTCCTTCTGTCACCAGGACTCTCCTACCACATATATCAGTTAAAAAATGTCGACCAACACACCCTTGACCTAAATGCATCGGCCTATACTTTTTACAGGTAAATAACAGCCTATTTGACGCCATTGTTATGGAGACAGGAAAGAGAAAACGAAAGAGGAATGAAGAGATTGAATCAAGTAATGCAGGCGAACAAAGTAAGCACAAATTTAATATATACAATTTAATTTTAAAAGAAAAATACACTTTCAAATTATCACGAGTTCATATTTTATATAAAAAAAATTGAATGTTTCAGGGGGCCAATTGCTCATCGACGGGGAAGAGTGGACAACAACAAATTTTAACACAAGGTCATGAAATTCTTCCTTAGCATTTTACTTTGTGTGCATATTTTATTTGAAGAAGATAAATATCTGCCCAATTACTTGAAAATTAGTGATAAACTTAAGCTCAATAATTCAGCAAAGTGGCATACCTATATGTTGAGTAGTCAATTAGAAATTGGATGCAAATCGCTGTTTAGCAACCATATTCACTCCATTGGTAGTCTTACAGGATTCTCATTGAACTACGAACGAATACACCAAGAATTCAGCCTGCGGTCCTCTTTATATCCTGTCGAGAGTTTGGATTGCTCCAAAGAGGGATTTTATCTCAGTATAGCGACGACATCTGTAACCCTGCTGCCCTTCGGGCACGCCTCCTAAGCGATGGGATAATCCAGGCTATTCAGGAAGAATCACATTTGTAACCCTCATTTTCTCTCTTTTGTTGGTTTCTCTTTGTCGGCAAAATTAATCTATCAAAATATTGACTATCGTTAACTATTACATAAATAATTCCTTTATCATTAAATTAACTTAGTGGTAATTGTGATTGTAATTATAAATTGTTGTTCCGTTTGGCAACATTATATTTCGGCTTATCAGACTTATCAACCAACTTTTTCACGAAACACGTAATTTTTGATTTCGTGCGCCAAATTGTGTAATAAGTAGAAAAAGTAAGGTTGGAGTTACTTTTCTGGCTGTATTGGATGAAGTTATTCTAGATGACCATTTTCCCTATTTTTACACATAATTTTTATTATGTAAAGCCCGGGGCAATGCCCCGGTAGCGCGTAGTGTAAAGCCCGGGGCAATGCCTCGGTAGCACGTCAATGTGATATATATTAAAATGAAAAATACTAATAGATATTGTGAATTATTCATAGGATCCAAAATTGAATATAATGCATTTTTACTATGATCTTATCTAACCACAACTAATAATAAATTTGTACATGTTAAATATATTGATGGGGTTATGGGACTAGGCCCAGAGCCTAATCGGCCCAGGCCCCAGACTTGGACCAGCAGGCCCAAGCCCAGGGATCCAGAGCTCATTCCGACCCAACCGATCAGGCCCATCAAAGAGTGAAAGCCCAGGGCGGCCTGCCGTCCAGCCCAGCAGGGAGCCTGCCTACCAGCCCAGTCAGCAGCCTGCCTTCCAGCCTACCCGGGAGCCTGCCTTCCAGCCTACCCGGGAGCCTGCCTTCCAGCCCAGTGGGGAGTCTGCCTTCCAGCCCAGTGGGGAGTCTGCCTTCCAGCCCAGTGGGGAGCCTGCCTACCAGCCTAGCCAGGAGCCTACCGACCACCAGCCCCGCTGGGAGCCTGCGATCCAGCCCCAACTGGGAGCCTGCGGTCCAACCCAGGTGGGAGCCTGCCTCCAGCCCAACGGGGAGCCTGCCTTCCAGTCTACCTGGGAGCCTGCCTTCCAGCCTACCCGGGAGCCTGCCTCCAGCCTGGTCAGAAGCCTTCCTCCAGCCTAGCGGGAAGCCCACCATCCAGTCCAGCATGAGGGAGCTCAAGCGTCCAGCCTGCCAGCCAGACTGACCTGCCAGCCAGGAAGAGTAACGGCCAACAATCAATGCGCGACTTAATTATGTCTTTAATTCCGTATTAATGTTGTAATTAATTTAGTCATTATTATGTTCGGCAGTTACCATTTGTAATCGCCTATAAAAGTCAATTCGAATTTCAAATACAGATATGCTATTTCTGGCTAACTTTCCATATTCGTACTTTCTTAATTCTTGCTTGAGTGTCGTACGTAGCTTTCCTAAAAGCCTACGAGCGTCCTATTTTGGACCAACATTGGTGCTTTCATTGAGAGCCTCTATTGTCTCTCACATAACTTGAGTAGGAATCACACAGGAAGATGGCCGGAATCTCGTCTCGACGTGACCATGTCTCAGTCCACACCGAGGAGTCCGCCCGGTCTGGCCGCCAGCGTGCCCTCGACAACCATGCACAGGGCAGGAGGGCGGTGCGCCAAGGCGACCTTCGGAACCAATTATCAGGCCACGACGACCTAAGGGCGACGCTCAACCACACCCAAGGTGAGCGCTCGGTCCGCAGCCGGCGGGGGGAGGCCGACGTCATGCTCCGCGCATGGACCCGACTCGACTCAATGTCGGGGTGGAAGCCCTGCAGGAGGCAACTCGGGTTCTAGGGACCTTGGCTCAAAATTTCCAACAGATGGTGTCTGGCGGAAATGTGGATGAGCCTGCCCGTCAACAGACGCCAGCGGATGTGGAGGTGTCCTCCAGGCGGCGTGATGAGCGACGCTCTGGATCCAACCAAAACAGGGGGGAAGAAGTCTCCCATCGGCGGGGGGAAGAAGTCTCCCAGCAGCCTAGCCGACCCCATCGGCAAACGGGGAGGGGCGCCCAGCAGGGGCGCCCAACGTAGATGGAAGGAGGCGAGCCCTCTCGCCACTCTCACCGGGCGAGCATTCGGACTGGCTCCACGGAGAGGCAAAACGTGGGGCCCCGACCTCACGTGCACGGACGACTTGGAGGTGCCGCCGGACATGCTCAGCCCCGCGCTGGAGCTGTCCGGCGGAACCCACCACCGGCTGAGCTGGAAGATCTACGACAGCGCCTTGACGAGTTGAGAAGGTGGGTCGTCGGGGGGGAGCCCTACACGGCCGACCTCCGGATACCCGAACCCTTCACCCGGGCGGTCATGGATGCGCCGTTGCCGAGGGGCTACAAGCCCTGCGCCATTGAAGCATACAAGGGCGCTTCTGACCCCCAGCATCATGTATCTCGGTACCTTTCCTACATGGTCATGATGGGGTACGAGGACGCCATCCGATGCCACGGTTTCTCTGCCACTTTGGATGGCCCGGCTCGTGAATGGTATGACTCTCTACCCGACAGGAGTATCATGACTTTCCGTGAGTTGGCTCAGCGCTTTCTCTTGAGGTTCGCGAGCTCCCGAGACGTCAAGAAAAACTTCAGCAACATGTTCGGCCTAAAACAGGGGAAGAAGGAATCATTGTCGACCTTCCTAGCGAGGTGGAGGGCCGAGACAGTCAAGGTTCAGGGCCTTGATGACAGGACCGGGGTGGCCATGCTCACAAACTCTATCCGATCGGGCGAGCTTTACAAAGATTTCGTCAGAAGTCCCCCTACCTCGTACGAGGAGGCGCTCGGCCGTGCCGACCGGCAAGCTGAGGCGGAGGACGCCTTGCAGAGGAAAAGAGATGAGGAAGAAGGTGCAAAAGAAGAAAAGAAGAAGGAAACCGGTTCGGGTGCTGAGAAAGCTGACGGCAAAGCTAGCAACAAAAACAACAAATACAAAGGTAACAAAAGTAGAGGCAAGGGCAAGGCGGACGTCCCGAGCGGACCGCTACAGCCCGTCAAGCAATTGACTCCACTTGCTCAGCCGGTCGGGGCCATCCTCGACTATGCGGAGGAGCAAGGTTTAGTCGACTTTCCTGAGGAGTGTGATGTGGTGACTGCCAAACGCAACCACGACCAATATTGTCGATTCCATCGGAGAGCAGGGCATGATACAGATGATTGCGTCATTCTCCGGCGGCAAATTGAAGAACTCATCCAGAAAGGGTACCTGGGCCAATTCGTTGGCAAACAAGGAGGCATCCCGCAGAAGAGGAGCCTGACGTGGCAGCGGTCCGACCAAGCTACCACGTCGAAGGAGACACCGCCTGCCAAGAAGCGGGAGCTCGGCGCCTTCTCCGAGGAAGACGATGCCGACCTAGTGAACGGCCCCCGGAAGTACCATCGATGTTCATTCATATTCGGGGGACCCCAGGGAGGCGACACCTCTGGAGAGCGGAAGCAGTGGGCCCGAGCCCTATACGTGGGGGAGATAACCAGGGCTCCCGCCGACAAGAGGGTGAAGAGGGACCCCATCTTCTTCATCGACGCAGATTTGCCATCGATGCCTCCGCCGCACAGGGATGTCTTGGTCATCAAGGTCGAAATCAACAACATGATCGTCCACCGAGTCCTGGTGGACAATGGGAGCTCCGTTAACATCATGTACTATGACACCTTCCAAGGTCTCGGGCTGGACCAAAAAGACTTGATCCCGATGAGAACCCCACTCTCGGGCTTCACCGGGGACTCCATTGAGTCGGAGGGCAGCATAGTCCTCCCCGTGATGGTGGGCTCTGAGCCCTGCGTATACAAGTTAGACGTCGAGTTTATCGTCGTACGCCTAACTTGTGCACATAAGATCATCATGGGAAGGCCGGCCCTGGAAGACATCAGATGTGTGATATCCCAGGAGCACCTATGCATGAAGTTTCCCACTCCGAATGGCGTCGGAGTTGCCAGGGGAGATCAGCGAATGGAGAGGAGCTGTTATCTAAAATCTTGTAAACAAATCGGTCGAAAAGACTTGAGGGTCCACACTATCAACAGCAAATCCATGAAGTATGAGGAGGGTCAGCTTCGCACTGAACCCACCTCAGAAGTGGAGGAGATCCAGATTGACCCCGAGAGGCCGGAGCGGAAGGTCAAGATCGGGACCGGGCTCCCGGCCGGCTTGAGGGAGAAGATTATCCAGGTACTTGTCCTTTTTAGCGTTGTCTTCGCGTGGGGACCGGAGGACATGCCTGGCCTTGACCGAAGCATCGCTGTCCATCGGCTGGCGGTCAATCCAACGGCGAAGCCCATCCAGCAGAAAAGAAGACACCTCTCAACCGAGAGGAGGGAATTCGTGAAGAAGGAGGTCAATATGCTCCTGAGTATCAAGCATATCCGGGAGGTCTTGTACCCGGTCTGGCTAGCAAACGTGGTCCTGGCCCCGAAGCCGCCAACCTGGAGGATGTGTGTTGATTACACCGATCTCAACAAGGCATGTCTGATGGATCCATTCCCATTGCCTAACATCGACCAACTAGTCGATGGGACGGCCGGATGTGAGCTCCTTAGCTTCATGGACGCTTTTCGAGGATACCATCAGATTTTCATACATGAAGAAGATGCGGAGAAGACCTCATTCGTCACCCCAGAGGGTATTTTTTGTTATCTTGTCATGGCCTTCGGGCTGAAGAACTTTGGGGCGACGTACACGAGGATGGTGGCCAAGGTATTCTGGAAGGTGCTCGGAAGGAACATGGAGGCGTATGTTGACGACATGATCGTCAAGAGCACCCGAGCATCCGATCATGCAGATGATTTGGCAGAGATCTTCGGGATCATGAAGGCAGTCCGTCTGCGCCTGAACCCGAAGAAATGTACCTTTGCCGTCCAAGGAGGCAAGTTCCTGGGGTACATGGTCACACGGAGGGGGATTGAGCCAAATCCTGAGAAGGTAAGGGCAATACTTGACATGGAACCCCCGAGGTCGGTGAAAGAAGTCCAGATTCTCACCGGCCGGCTAGCAGCCCTTGGACGCTTCATGTCCAAGTCCGCCGAGAAGTCCCTACCCTTCTTCCAGGTCCTAAAGAAACAAAATGGTTTCGTCTGGAATGATGAGTGTCAGCGAGCCTTCGACGACCTGAAGAAGTATCTCCTCTCTGAGCCTTTACTTAGCAAGCCGGAGAGGGGGGAGACGTTAATCCTTTATCTTGGGGTTTCGCAAGGCGCAATCAGTTCCGTGCTGGTTCGCGAGGAGGAAGGCGTTCAGCGTCCCGTCTACTATGTGAGCAAGACCCTCCAGAATGCTGAGCTCCGGTACCCCCC